TAGACAAAGATTCGTCGGATGAGATAAATAGCATATCATTGGCGGCAAACTCTTCGTCTCTGTCGGTGGCACTCAACCATTCGAGCAGTTCATCCATTAGTGATTGCGATAAAGGGTTGTCAACGAAGAGTCTGAGCACTACATCCAATGACAGCTCTCTATCGTCGTCGTCCACCTCTTCAGCGACTCTGCCTTTAAATAGTTCTGACGTCCAAAGTGGTGACCAACTGAGTGATAGCCATCATATACTTAGTGTTGATGTGGGAAAGGATAGTCAGTCCAATGGGTCGACTACCTGTTCCTCATCCAAAGCGTTTGAACTGACACTCACTCCCAAATCAAACCGTGAATTAACACAAACACCGCCTCCACTCTCATCCCTTTCCGCATCCGAATTGACCACAAAAAGCAGTTCGAGTGCAGCGGAAGTGTGCGTTCAGTCCGAGTCCACACCCAAACCCTTCGGTACGCCCGATGTGAACGACTCCTTAGTATTAAATATTGAGTCCACTTCTCAACCATTGGACGCATTTGTGTCGGAGTCCAAAGACAAGACACTTAACGGATACGAACGAACATATTCTTCACATCTCATTGAATCCGTTCTTCGCAATACCAGCCCTTCAGAGCAATGCAATGCCCGCACCGGTGAGTCGGACAGGACTGTCGGGCTCTCCAACCACTCGCTCACCTCTTCCTCTTTGAACACTAAACTCGAAAACAGTAACAAAGAGAACAACTCTTACAGTTTGGACAGAATCTGCTCCAAAGCACCCAAATCTACCTCTTCGTCGACTAATTGTAATAATTTTCAAATTAATTCATCAAACGTTTCCAATTGTGTCAAAAGTGTGGTTAAAGACTCGCATAGTGTAGGCGTCAAAAGGACAGCCTCACCGCCGCTCTCTAATCAAAGTACTGCCGCCAAACAGAATCGTCACTCGAGTCCTAACAATCAAAAGAGTTGTGATTCACTCAACACTCCATTACATCCGAGTGCTGCCCAACAAAGTCGGGGCTCCACTAACAGCCTCTCAAGTCTTAGTCATTTGAGTCAATCAATCGGTCAGTCCTTCAACACAAGTAGAGAACGAGAAGAGACGTCGAGTACTAAGAGCTCGAGTGCTCGCACCACACCATCGGTCACTGTTTCCAACTCTTCTCCCGACAACACCTTTCCAAACAACTACTCGACCCCTAAAAGTCATTTGTGGACTTCTTCGAGGTATGCAATCCTTATTTGTTGACTATATATGAATGCATTCATTGATCCTTTGATGCCATACTAATTGAATGGTTGTAACAGTTCCAGTACAGGACTCAATGGTAGTGCTGTCCCCCACTTGTCGCCGTCAAGTCTAACGCCGCGCTCCGCAACTCCTAACATCGGACTGTCCTCTTCAGTGCACTCCAACCACTCCAATCACTTAGCAATGTTCGCGTCACCCATTCCTCCCGCACTCCCTTCAGTGGGCGGTGCAGTGGCCCCCAGTGCCACCCCTTCACCGTTTATCGGCGATTCACTCTTTTCACATCAAAGTTAGTCATTGTTTTTGAGACACAATCGACACGTGTTTAACACTCCACTCAATCTACTCTTAGATCAATCAGACTTCTTGAGGCGAGAGTTGGACACCAGGTTTCTGGCCTCACTGGACAGGACTATTGCTATCCCTCCGCCGCCTTATATGAGAACAGAGATGCATCAACACATCCATGCAATGCCACAGAATCAACCCTTTCCTATGACACCAGCGATGGCCAGTCCTTTAGTGCAACAATCGAACCCACATTTAGCGGTATTTTCACTCAAAGGAAACCTTATGATCGTTGTGTAAATCATATTTATATTTTTTACATCCAGTTCCCTAAACTCGATCAGACGACTGCTTATTTCAATCGTAACCCTCTCAGCCTATCCGGCTTTCCTAGTCTTTCACCCCTTTTAACACCCGGAGGTTCGACAATAACCCCACAAACGGGTAGCTTAACGGCCTCAGCGACCACTCCATTTGGACCGCCCGGCCATTCGGCAGCTTTTCAGCCTAAGGTTTGCTTTCAAATTGTTTACTTTATTACTGTAAAAGAATTATTGACTAAAATTATCATTTTATCTCAATTTAGTTGAACTCATTGTCCACTAAAACTAAACCTTCAGCGGTATGTCTGCATTGAAATGAATAACAAAAACACGAAATAAACTAATGGTTTGTTGTAACCCTCTCAGCCTATCCGGCTTTCCTAGTCTTTCACCCCTTTTAACACCCGGAGGTTCGACAATAACCCCACAAACGGGTAGCTTAACGGCCTCAGCGACCACTCCATTTGGACCGCCCGGCCACTCGGCAGCTTTTCAGCCTAAGGTTTGCTTCAATTTTGCTTTCATTTTGCTTTCAAATTGTTTACTTGATTACTGTAAAGGAATTATTGACTAAAATTATCATTTTATCTCAATTTAGTTGAACTCATTGTCCACTAAAACTAAACCTTCAGCGGTATGTCTGCATTGAAATGAATAACAAAAACACGAAATAAACTAATGGTTTGTAAAACTCTTACAGAAGTCCGGGCGCTGGTGTGCAATGCATGTGAGGATCGCGTGGGAGATATACCATCACCAGCAGAAACAGCAACAAATGGATTTGTCCCACAAAAGTGGTGTTCCCTCGGGAACGGGTGCGTCTAAGAGCGGGTCATCAGACCTGCTGCGACCCCTTAACCATATGTTTTCGTTGGGTCCGCGGACCCAAGAACTGCCGCCCTTCTCGTCACCCCTTATGAGCGCCGCCCCTTCGCGGACGCCCTTTGACTCTCCACTGCCTTCACATCACAATCAATTCGGATCAACGCCTCCATCGCCTCATCTCTCGTCCAGAACAACGAATTTCACTCGATTTCCATCGTTTGGAAACTTTAGTTCATTGGGTTTGCCTCCAGTGGCGGGCCCTCCCACGCCTTCGGGCACACTGTTTGGTCCGACACCTATATCTGGAGCGCGAGACCTACCAATCCCTGGATGTCTGCCCGGATTGAGTGCCTCAGGACCTGATTTATGGTCCAGAAGTGCATCGACTCGACCGACACCCGCATTGTTTCCTCCATTGACGGCATCGACGTCTTCGAGCACTTCCTCGGCTTCGTGGGGAGGACTCAAAGCAGAGGCCGAACGCAATCGACTCAACGAAGACTTGTATCACAAACGGAAACACTCGGAGAGTGGCGACAAAGACGCCAAACGCTTCGAAAGAGAGAAATCCAGAAGTGATGATAAAATAGAAGCCAAACATAAGGATCAGTTAAATAGTCATAAACAGAGTTCCAATTCTTCGTTATCTCACGTCAGAAATGGAGACATCTTTTCCGATAAGAACAAGGATTGGCTCAAAATGAACAGTAAAAGAGATTCTTCGCGTTCACCTCTTCATCGATCACATCATTCGTCATCTCATAGCCATCCGTCACATTCATCATCACATCAGTCACACCACAGCCATAGTCATCATCACAGCCACAGTCATATCCATAGCCAAAGCCATAGCCATAGCTCTACCAAGACTTCAAACGCCGATATGAGTGCCTTCGATAACAATAGATTGAGTTCTGTTGGCGTCAAAGACGAACAAAAGGAAGAGAACGGACCGAACGGACAGACCGCCCGGTTTGCCACCGATGCCAACGACACCAAAGGCAGGACTACACTCACCACCACTTCCAGTGCATCCAATCTCCTCAACCCGTCATCCACTTTAGCGGCAATGGGTTTGAACAACCAGTTAGAAAAGGCTCGATTCATGAGTCTGTTTGGCGGCCTTCACGGCACTCCCCCTCCCGTCACCTCTCACTACAATACCAACAATTCGGCCGAATCTTTGCGCTCGTATTGGAATCCATTAATACCAGCCGTCGATCCCTTCAAGAGTCTGCACGAACTGCAAGTGAGGCCCGACTTCCTGGACAGGGATAACATCTTCCAGAGGTATAGTCTGTTGAACTCTTCGGGCGGCGGCGCCTCTCTTATGGAGCGAATCGCCAAAGAGAGCGCCGAAAAGGAAATGTTGAGTCATTCGATCGAAAAGCATAACTCGAAACTCATTGCTTCTCACATGCGATCCAATGACATGTCTTTCACATCTGGTCTTCCGGGCGGTCATAATCCTCGGACTCCTCACACATCGCACCCACACATACCTCCCCCTCAGCCACCGAACCCTTCGTCGTCCGCGTCGAGCATATATCCGGCAAATCCTTATCTAAATAGTTTGCATTCGTTGAGTGCCAGCGCCGGCTCTTATATGAAGACCAGTAAGAGTGGGTCCACTCCATTGCATACGTCCTCCTCGTCCTCATCCGAGACCTCATCGCCTTCATTGGGTCCCACGAATGGCACAACACTTGCAGCTCTGGTACCAAATGTATTAAACCATTCGTTAAACATAACCAACTCTAAGCTATCGATTGGTTCTCTAATTGATAATCAATTGGAAACCATTCATAGAAAGAGTAGTGAATCGAAAGCGCCGACCACTGGACTCGTGTCCAGTAATGGCAACACAAGTGATGTTGAAATCTTAGAAACCAACTCAAGATAGCTATCGATTATGATCTCAAAGCCTAACAAATACTTACGAATTGAACGAAGACTGCAATTACTGATAATTGAGGCCTTTTTGTACATTCATTGGAATAGTTATGCCTTTTTGACTATTGATTCAACAGTTTCTACAAATATTATGACACAAAGAGTGGATTCCGAGCTAACCTGTGCTTAAGACACACACTAATCATATATTGATTATAAATAGAGTGCAGTTTCGCTTAAATTAAATTTATTTATTATTTTGTCTCTAAAGACGTGTAAATACAAAGCAATCATTGATTCAAATGTTTGTCATTCACTGCACCGACAACTCATCCCTCTCTTCACCACTAAATCTGAAACAGATTTTTGTAAATATATTATAAACAAAAAGCTGACAAACGATTGAAAAGATTATGTGATTTTAATTTCTCCTCCGATTTGTGAAAAACGTTTTTATATTATAATTAAATCCTATTTATTGTTGACATATATTTCGTTGACTTATTCGTTGTCTGTATTGTAGAACCGATCGAAACGAATGCATATTTAATATTATTATTAATTAATTATTACTTATTATTAATGATTATTATTATTATTATATACTATTATTAAATGAATTTTTAAATACATTTTTTATTATGCATTTGGTTTCTAAAGTGTAGAAAACTGTAAATTAATATGTGTTTCAATTTTGCTATAAATCGATGCGTTCTCTCAATATAATTGTAATTAATATTAAATTTATTATTAAAATTAGGAGACATTCAATGCATTTGTCGTACAATTCATTCATTCATTCATTGCAAGGATTTGTGATTCAAACAAACTTTTTATACCGATTACAACATCAAATCAAGCTGTGATACACAGGAAAGCCTATCATTTATATTTGAGGCAACTATAGGATAGCTGTATATTCTTATGAATTATATTTATGATTATATCAACTATTATACTAAGATATCATTGCTTTATACTCTTAAGACAACTAACAAATGGTAAGTATAGTATTAGCGGAAATGGATCTCATACTCTCAATTACATTTTATGATATGCTAGTACAATTACTGTTAGAGTCATTAAATTGATTGCAATTTGCAAGGTTTAAGTATTTGAATGAAGTACTCATTAGTAAAGTTTACTTTATAATTTATAATAGCATTTTGATTGCACTTACCTTTAATGACTTTATCTGTCGTCCGATCACATGTTAATTCATACTCTATTAAATACAGTGTATTTGGAGGTTTTTTTTATAGACAATCATGTATTATACTTACATATTTACCATGATAATAAAGCCAAGACAATAAAGCCAATAATACAGTATTGCTAAATTGAAGTATTTTGCACTGAAGTATGAAAATACTTGATTGCGTCTACACTACACTATGACTTTAAACGCGTTTGTGCCTTTAAACTGGACAGTGTAACACTGTATATGTTCATAAGTCAGTATATAATTGAACCCGGTCATACTTTAAAGTTGAGTATTACTAAACAGTAAGTATACTGATGTGTCCATTATATGAATACTTTACCTGAACTGTAGTGTAGTTGAGTACAAAAGTTCTTACATGAAAGCAGTGGAGACAACAGAATGACTATTCATTTAATACAGAATTGCAGACTTAAAGAGTGATTTCGTTTCAAATTAAGCTTTTATTGGATTTAAAATTGGAGAACAACTCTAAGTTTATTGGTTTTGTTGAACAAAGTTTTGTTTTTTAAATTAAAATTTTAGTCATCTTTTAAAATAAAATACTATTAAATATAATTTGATTTCAAACTAATAATTTAAGCGATAATTAATGTAAAAGTTCCGAAATATAAGAAATAATGATAATAATAATAATAATATAATAATAATAATAACTACTAATAAGTACTGAAGACGTCTGTAAAGTTTTAAAAGTGTTTTAAAACAATTGGCGAACATTTGAAACATAATTTCAATATAGTTTTGAATAGAAATGTATAAAACATTTACAATCCAAAGCAGAACCAAATAAAAGCTGAATTCAAGTGTATATAAAATGACATTTTTTACAGTGAATTCATCAATGGATTCATTAGACAGTCATTGAATGTGTGGAGGGGTTGTGTTATCTCCGCAACATATGTCCGTTGGAGAGGGCGGCGCCCACCTCCAGCTCCAACTCTACCAGCAGTGGGAAGTGATCGGAGGGGATGTGTTGGTGCGGACAACCGGCCACTTTGTTCTCACGCAACCACTCCGGGTCTAAAGGACCCAAAAGACCCAAAACTGATAAATGACTCTTCGAGTAGAAGATGTAATCGATTACACCCTTGAAGTCAAACCTATCGATACATTGAGACAGCAATTGATTAGTTAATCATTTTAGTGATCAATGGTTTGGGAGGGACTGACGTGTAGTTAGTGAAGGGCATGATGTCATCGGCGTATGCGTTGGCAATCTTGAAGGGATGGGTGTATTCGGAGGCCCTCTCAGAACAACTTAGTTTCCGTAAGCAGTCTTTATATCCGAGTTCTTTGAAGTCCGAGTGATCGGCAGCTATACGGCCCGAACCCAGGAAGTCGACGACTCCCGAGTCGGGCAATGAGTTCAGGTCTCCGCACAGAATCAGAGGAACACTGTTGGCGTCGGCCTTCTGGGCTCCGGGTCTGAAGCTGTGCGCCGAGTCCTCCACTATAGACCTCAGCTCATGCATCAACATAATTGTCTGAATTAACTTCACGTCACAAAACTCTGGGTCCCAATGGATGTGCGCCGTACACACCAGCAACGGGTGGTGTGCTTGCGAGGGGTCCGGAAGCATACCTAAAGGACATACAGCCATCAATGCATATACTGTACACTTGGGTGACAAGCGGAGGAATACCTGCTTCGAAGGCGCCCTCTTTGGTCTGCAAGAGTGCGGCCAAACCGATGTTGTCTTTAGTCATCACTCGATTCAACATATCGTCGGATCCCTCGGCGTTAGCCATCGCTAACTGATTGAATTCAACCAAATGCTCCTTAATTAGACTGAATCTACACAAGCATTCAAAAGGCGTTAATTCAACACAAATCAGACCAGAATCACGACCAGAATATCTCAAATTACTTATTAGTCCGGAAAAATATAGCGCATCCGTCAACATGTCGCCGCTCCGACTCAGTCATTGTCTTAGCCCTGGATTTGGGCGAAAAGATGCCGTCGTATCCCTGTTCCCGGAGCTCAAGCAGAAAGAAGTTGTAGAACTGATCCGTTTCCACCTCTTGCAGTGATATTATGTCCGCCGAATAGTGTCGGATCTCATCGATGATGGCTTTCTTGCGGTAATCCCAAGCGAGCGCCCAATTGGGACAATAGCCGTACAGTTGTCTGGTCGCCAACTTATCACACAATATATTATAACACATGACTGTGAAAATACTGGTCAATCGGCTCCTGTCCGGGTGACCAGAAGGAATCCATGGCCTGTTCGGGGGTCGGGAGGCCGTCACTGCTCAACAAAATCATAACATTTATACATTCATTAGTGTGAATAATTGCCAAACAAAACAAAAATTATATGAAATATGAAAGAAAATTTCAAGTTTTCAAAGTTAAAAGTCAAAATCACTATAAATAATGCAATTAACATTCATTTACTTTTTATAATCACAGAAAAGCATTACTTGTATCGCATTCATAGAAACCCAAAGAAAGTAAAAGCAAAGAATTTTTGAACTTTTAGTTCAAGTTTTTAACAGAAGTCATAATAAATGATAAATTAATGATTTGCTTTCAAACACTTTCGAAAGAATTCATTGAATGTCTTATTATTAGAGCTTAAGTGAGAAGAGTAACAATCAGTTGAAAGTAATTTAAATTAAATTTACGAAAATTTATATAATTATGTAAATTATGGCTTCATATTTGATGGCTTGTACGCAACGAATGTCTCTATTTATGAGTCAAAAAGACTATCATTTAAGAGAACTTAATGTAAATTAAGGTGAAAAACAAGTTCAACAGTTTTGGTGTTTAATAATGAATGTAATGAATGGATACAAATATCTCAAATAAATTAACGCAAGAATTTTATCATCACATGATTTAGTCAACGAATCTTATATTCATTGCATTTGAATCGAGTCTTCCTTCCAATTAGTCTTCAATCGCTTTTTATTTTTCGTTTCAAATTAAATCTCTTTTTTTTAAATATCTGATTTAGCAACAAAAAATATTTACTTTATGCAAACTTCAATTATGTACACTATCCAGTTATTCACTTAAATTAGTTAAATATCCACATTTTGCACAATTGTACAGTATTACTATTTTATAAAAGTTATTTTAATTCATATCTGTAAATGATTACAAACAAGGGATATTTGTAATGAAATTCATATAAATGCGAACAAATAGTTAATCACTATTTAGTGTTCAATTACTAACAAAATTGTCAAATAACTGTATGACTTTTAACAATGAATTCATGCAATTGTTCACTTATTTTGTTTTATCATTCGTTGAAATAACAGTAAATATGATTTTTGTTTACAAGACATGCGACAACTGATAAGACAAAACTAACAAAACAATAATAACTCAAACCCCGCTTTTCTGCCCTGACTTTAAACTCTATAAGTAATACTCAATCAAAACGGCATTCTTATGGAAACCAAAGCTATTGAATAAGTGTTATGTAATTTTCAAATATATTTTTTGTTTATTTTTTCTTTTCCTATGAAATCGAGGAATTGATGCAAAAGACACGAAAGCTTTTCTCAGTACACAATATATATCAAATAAATTAGACTCAAAAACTTGTAAATCATTCAAAACTTAACTTTTGAAAACTCATAACACGTTTGAATTTGAAACTATCATAAAAAAGTTGCCGTTTTATTTATATTCGCAAAAAAAGATTTCGTTTAAAACCATTTTAAATCAAAAGCGTTTGAATGCTTTTAATACTGTATTATAAGTCTAATCAAAAAATTTCGCAAAGAATTTCAAAAAAGGCATTTAAAATCAATTTAACCGTATATTTGTATTCAATAATATTGTCCCCAATTTATTAGAGATTTAAAGATTACAAAGACTTGAGTATTAAATGAGTGGTTGATGTGAAGATTGTATGTCTGTTCGGGTCATATGAGTCCAAACTGACTCTCATTTGTGAAATTAGCGTACATTACAGTATACGGCATATACTCGATGTTGACTCTAATGTCAGCTTAAGTTTATGAGTTATTATATTAGGTTTGTTTGCTTTAATTAAATTTGAATTATTTGTGTGTACTGTACGTTATGTTATGTTTTTGTTGCATTTCAAGTGATAAAACATTGTCTTGTTTACTGTCAAACAATTAACTGTGAACTACACTAGAGTTTAGAGAAGCACTTTGCTGTGGATTTTGGCAATCAATTCATGGTTTTTCTCAATGCAATGAATAAAAAATCTATTAATCGGTTAAACAATAAGTCATAACACAAATGACACAAATGAGAGCTAATAAGAAAAGTTTTAAACATTTTTTACTTATAAGTTATAACCAATTCTCATAACTTAAATGAATAGCAAAACAATAAGAAACGGGAAATGAATTGTTGAACACAACGAAAGCTATCAATTATTGCATTACTATTTGCTTACTATCGTTGACTGAGACTAATGAATACCTTCGACGACAAAAACCTCAATATATTTGCAATAATAACAATAAATCATAAGACAAATGCAATGAATGGAAAATGCACTCAAAGTTTCAAAGAGACATTATTTTGAGAGTTAAATGCTTATGAGTTAATGAAAGAAATATTTTGATTTTACGTTTTGAGACCAAGCTTTCCGTTTGCGGTAATGAAATCACAGGTTTAATGGATTGCAAACAATCTGACGATACGATTGGTTGTGTGTTTGTATTGTTTAAATCGATTAAAGTTTTGATGCACTTATCACTAGATATACCATTCAATTGATTCAAATGCTTATTCTTTTTACGCCTTTTTCGCGGTTTTATAACTCGAGGCAAACAGTGATCGGAAGCGCCAGAAGAATCTTCGGATGCGATACTAAAGCTGTCGCTAAAGCTCTTGAACGCGGATTTCGACTCAAGTGATGTCCGCCCAGAAGACTCTGAACTGCAAACGGAGACGTCGTCTGAATTGGAGTTTAGATCACAGCTCTTACTAGTGATGGAAAGGAGTGAACACTTGTCTCCATTCGACACACTTTTAGTTTGTCTTGAATTCAGACGACGATTACTACTAATGGTATGACTGAGAAAGAGATCATTTCCTTTGTAAAGACATTCAGAACTTTGCATTCGCTTTGAATTCTTGTCGACAATGCCATCCAATATAAAGACATCCTTTTTATGGACTTTTTTATACAAAATCTGATTCTTGAATGAATTGACATTTTGATGGGAAGTGTTGGGAAGAATGAGTGGAACTCCTTCTGCATGGAGTGCTAGCTTCCAAAGCGGCAATATATCCACCATTTCATTGGATTCTGCATTTGAATTGTCCTCTAATTCTATACAATCACTGCTTTTATTGAAGACATAATAATTAGACGACTTGTGGTATGTATTGAACGATTTGGTCGTCTGTTTAAGCAAATTATGTTTTCTCATGACTTGTTGCCAGAACTTATGACACAACTCTCAAAATGCATAATAATATCACAAACTAATCAATTCATTGAAATGGGATCTAATGGTCATAAAAACAACTTTTATCACAAACTAATGAAATAAAATTTGAAAACTTGTAAAACTAATGATAACTTTTGATAAAACTTTTCATAAATAACTTTAGCAAATAACTTAAACAACAAATGACTACAGAATCGCTGTGTTTAGAGGTGTAAGAGGTATCGCGCGTTGGGAAGAGCACTGGTAGGGAAGGGATAGATGAGAACAGTTAGAGATGAGTCGTTTGAGTGGTAATACTATCACTGAATGGCACTGAGAGGCACTGGGAGACACAACCAGCAAAACGAGTAACATATGCAACGAACCCGAAATGTTAACCATTCGTACGAGTAGTTTAAGAGTTAAGGCCTTAAAGCCCACACTAAACAACTAAACACTGAAACACTAAAACCTTGTATGGAGTGAACCCAAGATAAAGAGATGCATTGAAAGCAATGGATAACTTCCTTGTTGTGTGTCTGTGCTCTTTGTTGACTCGACTCCACCAACGAATAGTGATTATAGTCAGCCAACCCAGAAGAGCAACAGGTTAGCCAGTCATCTGTATGTCATACAACATACAGTGCCAACAGTGTTAGGCCAACACATATACGTAACACACTTTCTAAATGACTATCAAATGAATAGGCATTCAAACTAGTGATCAGATTAAGCGCATTAAAGTTCGTGACCTAATCGCTAACACAATATACCATACATTCGGACCAAATCTCACTCAGGAAATCATATTATATGATACATGTATGTGATCTCTGTATCTCTATATGTGGAGCAATCGACAAATGAATTTGCAATCAATCCGACAAACATTCAACTTATTGCATATCATCAACATATTGGCATCAATTATCACAAACACTCTTTTCATTGCAAACACTGCCGGGAAGGCCAGTAGCGCACCGGTCAGGTCAGGGTTTGCGCTACTTTTCACTGTTTAAGGGTAGACCACAATCCATACTGTATGGCCACTGTATGGCCACTGATATTGTGCCAATCAATTATTGCCTAACAGTACTCATGTGATACATTGTAATGCATTATTATTATGCAACGGCTTATCTCACACTCATTTGAACAGAGATTACAAGAGAACAAACATTTTCTCAGTTTAAGATAATCTGCAAATGAATTATTCAAAGTATAACCAAAGATTGCAATTTGCGTCCAATCGAGTGGTCAAATAAAATGAGGTTGAGATGCGTTGGCTGCCTGCCTGTCCCCGTAAGTCTCGTACAGTATAACAGAGTGTAATAATGTTAATAATGTTCCGGTTTCGACAGTCAGTTGCCTTTCCCACTGCTTTTATATTACAAATCGAGTTATTGTTAATAAATTCTCACAACTATTGTATGCATTCATGTAATGGTGTATTCAATACAGACTCGAAATCTCTCCTTAGAATTGGTTTAGCATTAACTGTGTGTATAGATTGAGTCAATTAATAATAATCTGGGAAACGAATGCAAAGAATTTGATACAACTTGTGATGAGAATTATTAACTACAATAAAGTATAATAAATGAGTAAATTATGAAACACTGGTAATAATGGTTTTCACTTTTAGCGCAAAAGTGATGTCTGGAGTGCAGCGAACCGTCCCTCAGATGTATTAACCAAACGAATATAAAGATAATTTGCAAAATCATTAACTCATAGCTAAGTATCGGCTCTTATTATGAGATTTGCAAAAGTATAACAAAAATATTAATAACATATCGTAGATGAGAGAGAATACTAAACGTTTGATACATTTATACATTGTATAGATAATCATTAACTCATAGCTAAGTATCGGCTCTTATTATGAGATTTGCAAAAGTATAACAAAAATATTAATAACATATCGTAGATGAGAGAGAATACTAAACGTTTGATACATTTATACATTGTATAGATTGTAACTATGAAAACAGTTAATGTCTTAATAATAAATATATATTTAAATATATTTCGATTATATAGTTGCGTTCACTAGTATTCACAGCATTTCTAAGGTATATAATAATGAGTTTAGTTATGGTGTGATGTAAGCGCTTGTGACCTATAGTTTGGGTCAAATTGTATAATACTAGTCAACACAGAGTTAGTTAATAAGGAAGTCATACATTTGTTAGACACAAACGCCACGATATATCGCATGAGTTTGAATTGAACGTAAATGCATTAAACCATCAAAATATAATTCACTTCTCATAAGAATCACAATTTGATTATTACTATTAGGATGTCATACAAAGCAACACCACTTATTCACTACTCAATGGTTTATTGTTAGACTTTTTCATTAAATGTCACATTCTTTGTCAATGTACGGCAACTACTCTACCATTAAAACATGTATCACATACATGTCCAATGAGTTGTGGTTTCAAATCAATTTCTCGATTCATATCATATCGAGAGGCAGTCATCGAGAACAGCAAATAGAAAGTCGGAATTACACGGAATATAACATATTATAACAAATACTTCATAATTAGCTTTTCCCTCATACTGTATGTGCCATTCCTGCGGAGTAACTCCAAAAAAGTCAAATAATGCCCTCAAATGTATTCATAAATTTGTAAATAAAGTTAATTCAATGCAAATATAAAAACTTTATAACAATTGCATTGACTTTTTTCAAATCATTGGCTTTTGTACGAGTGTTTCAAATCATGAGAACTTGTTTTCACAGCAATTTTCAAACATAAAAACTTTTCTCGCATTTTGTGCGGCAATTGAAGCGTTGAAAAGCAATCAAAACTAACATTTTTCCCATAATTTAGTTAAAGTTATGATAAACAAAATGATTGACTGACCGACGAGGTTGTCCAACAGATAGGATAGGAGTCGTTGGGTTCCGTTGGGTTCGTTGTATATAACTAACAACTCTTGAGTCAATGGATTGCCTTTAAGTCCTGTTTGTGTGGACACAAAGTGGTGGTTAGGGTTCGCAATGGCATAGAAAGCGGTGGGAAGTGAGTGTCAACGAGTGAATACCTAATGTCTGTATTTGAAACAGTTTTCCCAACTCGTAGGGCAGGCATCGCAAGTAGTTGTTGTTGAGTAGGAGTTCCCTTAACATGATTAGGTCTCCCAGTTCCGCGGGAAGACTCCGGAGTTTATTAGACGACAGATCCAAATGCATGAGTGATGTGAGGCGTGCGATGTCTGCGGGGATCCGACTGAGGCTGTTCTCGTTCAGATACAGTGACGTCAGGTGTGTCATCGCCCACAACGACGGACTCAGGTTCCGGATGGACCCTAAGATACACAACATCAGTGAGACAATGAGTGGTGGACACCAACACCATCGAGTGGTGGACACTATCGAGTGGTGGACACTATCGAGTGGTGGACACCATCGAGTGGTCGACACCATCAAGTGGTGGCTGTACTCACCCGTGATCTCCAGCTCCGGCCAATAGGACTTCTTGCCGTTCTGGACGTCCTCCGGAGACATGATAGAGTGGGTGCGGCGAGGGTTTGGCGGCTCATATTTGTCTCGTTCGCGGTCTCGATGTCCCGGACGTGACATTGAGTACTCTGTTGGACACAATCCCAGGTCTTATTGTCTCATTGATTGGCATACGAGTGAATGGATGCAGACCTGCATTGACTGTCTAATGGATCCAATGTATAGGCAACTGATTGTATGCGAAACACAAACACTAATACAATAAACAAATGCTAAACACAAACCAAATCTCGTAATCAGTGTTTGGATTTAAAATATAATTAAAATTTTATTTAAAATACATTTTTATCTTAAATTTGATGTCAAGTTGTTTTTGTCATTCAATCCACTCGTTCACGACTCGCGTGACGTTACGTAAAGCAGTGGGCGCTCAACGCATGAGTTGCCCTCAAATGACTGCCGCATTGCCAGCGCTGTGTGTCTTATATGAAGGCCATTACGAGGGGTTCGCTATAATGCACAGCAAGTGTACGGCATTTGTGGACTCAAATAATCTGTTTTGACTCAAACGTCGCTTTTGTTGAGTTTTTTGCAAATGTATTTCATTCACAAAATACGGCAACATTTGCGGTGTTTTGCCAACAGTTGGAGATTTGTTTTGATTGTGTTTTCGTACACTTTGCCAATCATTTGATCCAATTATGAGTTACTTCCGCACACTTCACGCCAATCATCAGAGTTTTGGTCAGTTTTTGACAAACATTTTGTATGAAACTAATCGTTTTGAAGCAATAAATGGTATTTGACTTGTGTTTCAGTGGGAAACGCGTTGCAGTTATGCCTACAAAAAGTTTTGGTCACAAATGGTCGGAGGAATGGTTTGCCGTCCGTTGCACTCAATTGCATACAAGTGTGTCATTAGTCCTCCGATGAGACCACCGATGAGTTAATGCTATGAATCATGTGTTTGTCATTAGAGACGAGAAATGGCGGCGCGAAGAGGCAAACGGATCGCCGCCACGCGTGAGAAGCAGAGGTTGTCTAAGATTAAGAAGGAAGAGGCGAAGAAAGCGGGCCCTAAGGTGTGGACACCAGACAAACTCAAGATCGACAAGTCGTACGTCACCTATGATTACTTGATTAGCGTTTGTGTATACAATTCAAGCGATCCATTGCTCCCCCCGTCAGTGCCCTGAATGTGGGTCCGCGAAGATTCTCAGACAACCACCTCAAGGACTTGGACTCACTTATGGACGACGTCTACGTCACTGAGTTATACAAACAAAGACACCACTCGTTGGTGGAGGCGATCGCTATGCATAGGGAGACCCACGACAAGACTGTCCTCAACGACCCCAACGCTGTCGTCGAGACGACCGAACTCAAGCTGAATTCGTGGTTTTTCTTCTGGTTTAAAACGCTACGTAAGTTTCCGTAATAGAGAATAGGTGTTTTCAAACTCAAAGTTCACTTGGCGTCTTATTATCGGTAGACATTCTTTCTACTGGACAAGTTTGACGCCAAGGAGGCGGGCGCTGATGTGGTCGGAGGCCTCGAGATCATCAAAATGCTACAGAAGGGCGACCTATCGATGAGTAACTTCGATGACCTCGTCTGTCACGGAGACCTGTTGGTCGAGTTGGCCGGCATTCGGGGTCTACTCATGCAGGCGTTCCCCACCAAACAGTCCCCATTAGACCCGAAGCTATACTTCTTTGACCAGTTAGTCAAGCAGTTTCCTTAACTCATATTCAATCACTTTCTGCTCAAGCTCAGCCTGAACCCAAGCCAAGCGCACGGCAAGCCAGCCGATGATATGAGTGACCAACACTTGCACCAGAATCTCACCTTTTTATTGTCCACTATCGAGAAGCATAAGCCCTCCACCAGTATAGGTATGCCATTGTATGCACACACGAGTTATGGCACTATTACTACAAATACCATATTTCATACATTTGTCTTCAGTTCCGTTCATAACTCGAGTTCTCATACGAAGCGAACCATCGAAAGAAGAGTTTGCACTCAAGTTCTGGGATTATGTGGACGGATATGAGGCCCGGAATGCCGAGGAGGCGGTCGACGATGAAGCTGACGATAAAGGGGACGACGACAAGGCATTGACTTCCCTTTGATTGCAAATTACCGGTATATCCCGTATACCAAACACGAGTCATTAGTTACATAAAAAAGTCATAAAATAAATATAAATGGAAACCAAATTTATAACTAAAATCAAATCAAAATAAATCGTATCAATTGATTGGAAATAATCAATCGACGCTTTTTTTATATGTTGGCTAATTACATAACAGAGAAAAGCATACTTTATTTAACTCCAAAACAATGCTTTTTTAATTTGTATTTTTAGTAATAATGCTGGCTTTGATTACACAGCCAGCATTCACAGTAATAATTATAGAAAAATTTAGCTTATAATGCAATCCAATAGACAATAGATTCAACGTTTTCTAATCAATCATACCTTTAATATATTTTGTTGGCGTTTATAATATTTATAATAATTAACAATAATATATGTTTGCATTCATTCTATAATCACTCACTGAACTCAACCAATGCATTGACAACAGCTGTCAACCACCGATTCGTTCGTTTAATATATGTATTGATTATCGTATAGTCTTATAGTTTATGACATAAAATCCCGAATCAATTGTGTGAGTAGTTTGTCACGTGTTATGGTTCCAGTGGTTCCAGTTCTGTATCAATGCGAGAGAGAGAGTATGGAAAGCGGTGTTTTAGTGGACATTCACTGCAAATTGTAATCACTATAAGACTCACCATTTTCTGGTCGCCGTTCGACGGGTTGCCGGACAGAGCGCTGGCATCCGTTGCCCCCGAAGATAACGACCCAATCTTGGAGTTCCAGTAATCGCTGTCTTGCGTCACATTCATCCCGGAGTTGGTAGACATTGACTGGTAGAGTGCGGACATGTGTGGCGGCACCCCATTCACGCCCATCATCGGTAAACCAGATGCCGAGTAGTTGAGAGGATTGGCCGCATGTGAGCCCATATTCATCTGAACGGAAACCTATTCATTACAAACCGTACGCTACGAGAGGAATGGTGTGATTCTTACGTGATATGATGTGCCATCAAAATGCGAAACCTCTTCCGGATTGAAAAGGTTTTGATTCATAGCAGACATAGTGTTATCTGTCATCAAATTGTTTGAATGGATGCTCGCATTCATGTGTTGCTGTGTTTGGAGCCACTGTTCGTTCACATCGTTGGCATCGAAGGGCCACATCTGTTCACTTGTGTTCGTATTGGACAACGAACTCATCTGCGAGAACATCGGCATTGGGTTCTTGCGCTGAGCCCTCTCTGTGCCGATGGGACGGGGCATTGGTTTGCGTTCCTCGTAGTCCACTTTGGGCTCCATTTCCTTCTGGACGGCCATCGCATTGATGGACGACTGCGAGAGTCTGGTCTGTTGTGGCAGATAATTGTTTGCCGACATTAGCCCGAAGTGTTGCAAGTTGTGGGACGAGTTGGAGGCGTTCGGCAGACTATTGATGGCGGTGTGCAGTAGTCGTAGGGTTTCTGGAGATGGCGGCGGAGTGTTGGCGCCGAAGTCATTGACGGCTAAGTGGTTGTTATGAAGGGCAGGATTAGCTGCCATTTGCATGCGGACGGCCTGTTGTTTCTGCAGTGTCTGCAACTGTAGGTTCGCAGAGGCGGCCAAAAAGGCGGCCCTCATCTGCTCCTGAAGAACGAGGGCTGCGTTTGGCGACGAATTTGTTCCAGAATTGGCTGATATTCTCTTTTGCGGTGTCATTGACGGCCCATTCATCTGATGGGAGGACTGCATAATTGACGCACGAGTTGAGAAGTCCGGCGCGTTTGGGTTGAGGTTACTTTGGAGGGTATTACCGGCGTTACCACCAAATACTTGAGGGTTCGGGTCACCAGCCATTTGCATGGGATGCACACTCGCCACGGATGGCATGGGAGTGCTCTGACTGTGTGTGGTATGCGTCACATATGTATGCCTTTGCGGGATATTCATGGATGAAGACATGCTATAACTCTGAGATTTATTGGTATTTGAGACAATCGGCTGTATATTAGGGCCGATGGCTGTTGACTGAAGGAGCGGTTGGTATGATGTGGCCGACGATGAAGTGCTCACAACAGACGACACGTTCAACTGATGACTCGGAGACGGGTTACCACTAATTGGCGATACGTTCGACTCGTTTGTCATCGAAAACATCTGATTCTGGGGGTCAGACATCAGACGGTTGTTCTGTATGTGAATATTCTGGGGCGGCGGAGGGGTTGGAGTTGCCGATAGGGGCGGAGTTGTTGTCATTTTTGAAGTGCCACTGGAAGGCGTGAGTGGACCGGTGTTGTTGGCCACCAGTGGCGGAGTACAGGGAGCACTCCTGGCGTGACCACTGCCTATGGGACCCAAGTTTGATGTGCCGGATGACGAGGAGGGTGTGGACGACAGCGAGACATTACTGGGCGATATGTGTAGGTTTCCTCTATAGCCCGGAGCCTTACTCGCGTCAATCGACAGCTCTTTTTGTGTATTCTGTTGAACCGGTAGTCCTAATGTTGCGGACAAACTGTTTGAGTGATGATTAGCATTGGTTGAGGCGACGGACGTGAGTCCAGAGGCGGCAACGCTGGCGAAGTTGGGCTTGTCTTTGGACTGACCCCAGACGCTCGCCTGCGCTACTTTGCTGAACAGGTTGTTGAAGGGCGTGTACTCGGGAGTGGTAGCCGGCGGGGGCTTATCGTCATCCGAAGTGACGGGTGGAGCGGACTTTGTTGGCGACTGCGATGTCGTGACGGTCTGGAGATTATTAAACGGCTGTTTAGTTGTCGGAAGATATGATGAATTCTTAACGCCATTCGAGCTGTTCATAGGAACGGGAACGCGAGCGCCGGTAAACATTTGATGGAAAGGCTGTACGCCTTGTGGTGCACCGGTTGGACGCAAATGGTTTGTCATCGAAGCGGATGTGGTCTTCATTGTGTTCTCAGGTTTAACTTCAGCACTGGATACGACTTTAGGAATGGCAGGGATTGTGTTGGAGACGGAAGTGGTTTTGGTGTTCTTCCCTTTGGCCGCCACAGCCATTGTGTACGAAACGGTCGATTTGGTGCTGACGGCCCCCGACTGTTGAGTTGTGGAGACCGGCGCTGAGCTTATTGAAGGCATTCGATTGGAAGTCGTGTTCTTAGTATTCCATGCGTTGACGAACGGGGCGGACGACTGGGTGCTGGGGACGGACGGTCTGACCAACAGAGTCGAGCGATTCGTATATGTGGTCACATTGGAGGACGAACTCGTCGTGCAGACAGAGCTCAAGGATGACGACTTCAACACATTGGGGGCAATGGATGACTGCCGGGATGTCGAACCCATGACTGCTGTGCTCTGGCTTTTGCACGGATTACGAGTGGAGACGATCTCATCGCTGCTCACACTTGTGGGTCGACTCAAACCCATAGACTTTATGATTTCCGACAAATCCTTTTCCGTCTCTTTCGAGAGAGCAGTGATCAGTTGCTGGGCGTGTCGGGTGGCGTCGGCCGACCCTTTAATGATCACCATTCGGTCTCCCTGTCCCTTCTGCTTCTCCACTTCGATGTGAGCGCCGGACACCTCTCTGATTGCGTTTATATTACAACCGCCGCGACCTATCACTCGACTGATGGCATTGGAGGGAACAACAACTTTCTTGGACTTGCGGACCACTTCCTTCCAGCCCTCCTCTCGCTTCTGACCCTTTTTGGGTTGACTGTTGTTCGCAGTCGTCGACGAAGCCGTCCCTTTAGATACCGAGTAATTAGGACTTCTATGGCTTACAGAACTCGAGTTGTTTGCATTCATTTCGACCGTTAATTCGCTGAATCTATTCGTTTCATGAAATAAGCATTTGTTATAAAAAATATTCATTTCAATGAAAATTTGTTATTTGACTCACATATCAGGTTTAGTGGACGAGTGGTCGCCACCGGGTTTGTGGACATTCTTATGAGAATGCGTTGCGTTTGTCAACACATTTGATGCGTTACTCTTGACAGCAGTCTTCTCTTGAGTCGAATCGCTATCACTTGGAATCGAGTCGTCTTTCCTCTTATTTCTAGCACTGGTTGGCTGTGCGCTCGACTTCTTCACAGAGTTTGCATTCAAATGGTTCGTCAAATGGGAACTATTCACCACTTTCTTTTGCTTCTCCGTCTCTTTGGGAGCAGACTTTGGTTTCTCGTCGACCAATACTCTCGGCGTTTGATTTTCGAAAACAAAGCGGAGAAAGACACCACCTCCGCCGCCGCGTTGTTGTTGTCCTTGACCGCCACCTTAGTGAAGGTGATACAGAAGCAGCAGCAGGAGTAGTAAGCTCAGCAGCAACAGCAGCAGTAGGTCATCGTCGTCGTCGTCTTTGCCTTTCACTCTGCCATCAGAGGGTCCCGTCTTTGTCGACGACTTAATGAGCTCTTGTTTCTCCTTCTTCTTGATGCGCTTCCGTTCGCGACGTCGAGCGGCCGCAGCCTTCCGGTGCTCCTCTCGGGTGCGCTCCAAATCAATTTCTTCCAAAAGAATGGTCGCATTCTTGTTGGCCTCAGCGGCCTGTCGTTCCTTCGCCTGACGTAAGATCTCCGCGCATTGGTTCGTCTTCTTCAGCAACTCCTTGTCGTTAATCAACGCTATAAATCGGGTGATCTCCTGGTCCGCCGGGAACTGATTCACGTGTTTAACCATCCATTTGACGACTTTCACGTGACCCTTGCGGAAGGCAGACATAAGACACGACACTTTGCGGTTGTCCTGACTGTCGATATCGCAGCCGGCGTTCACCAGAAGTTGAACGACATCTAAATGTCCGCCATTACAGGCCAACCAAAGCGGAGAATTGCCTTTTTTGTTCTTCACATCGACGATGGCTCCTCTGGTCAGCAGGTCAAGGTGTTTTGCCATCACGGGAAACAGACTGCGATACCAATTGCGGCACAGAGAGCTACTTCCTTGTCCACAACGCAACTGTAGTCGCGGAAACAGCTCGTCTTGCGCAGGCTGGAGTTGTATTGCACCGGAAGCGGCTTCCATTAAAGGCGTTAACCCTGTTTTAGCCCTGTGCTCAACATTGGCCCGTCTGTCCAGCAACAGACCCACCACTTCACACCTGCCCTGAAAACAGGCTAACGTTAAGGCGGTGTTGCGGTTGGTCTCGATCTGGGCGTTGATATCGCTGCCCATATCGAGGAGCAGCTTAACAGTGGCCGCGTGACCGTTCATGGCGGCCAACATGAGCGGCGAGATTCCCAGTTTAGAACCGGTCCGGGAGTTGATTTCCGCGCCGTGACTCAGCAACAGCTTTATTATGTTGACGTAACCGCCAGACGCGGCCAGACTTAGCGGCGTGTAGTCCGAGACGTTTCGGTGCTCTTTGTTAGCGCCGCGCGACAACAGAATCTCCACCACTTCGTAGCGCCCACTCGAACAGGCGAGCGATAGGGCCGTGTCCTTAGTCCGCTCGGACTGGGCCTCCATATCGGCGCCGTTGTTCAGCATTATCTCCACGACGTTCAGGTGGCCCGCCGTCGACGCCAACATCAACGGCGTAAAGCCCTTCTTGTCTCTGTGCTCGAGCTCCGCCCCCCTGTTCAACAACAGCGACACCAACTCCTCGTGACCTCCAGCGCAGGCCAGTGTCAGAGCCGTGTCGTGATTGCTGTCCGTTTGAGAATCTAAGTCGACGGGCGGATACCACGGAGGGGGCGATGGGATCCTTATGTTGGATGGGGTTGTGGTGGTTGTGCTCAACGTGTTCTGTAGTATGACATCCGTCTTAATTGATTTGATTTTCAAATCCAAATCATTAGAATTCGAGACAACATTCGTGGAGCCAATGGAGTTGGGAAGCGAGTAAGACATGTGAGTGTCTATTGAAGACATACTGGTGTTCACCGATTGGGACAGAGATGTCGTTATATTAGTGGACGCGTTGGACGAGTCGGCGTGAAAATGACTGATCAGAAGAGGCGACAAATTGTTTGGAGCCATCGATGGCTCAAATCCGGCGATTTGTGACGGAGAAGAGACTAAACCCAGAGAAGCATTATTTGAGATAACATTCAAATACTGGCAATAGTTATGTAAATAATTACTTGAAGTAATGTCAGTCAGGTTTGCATTTGAGACAATGGTTTGCGTATTACTGTCGACGCCGTCGCCCGGGTTTGGAATTATTGTCGATATAATTGAGGGTCGATTAGACGCAGTGGTGGTCGCAGAGGGAGCGATGGTAACCGGAGATAATGTCAACGAAACGGGAAAAGCCGGCGCTCCCATCGCGTATATGCCTTCGCCCGTAGAACCAGAATATACTGCTTGACTGATAAGAGTCGGCGCAGTGGTCGCTGTGGCGGACAATTGATTGAGAAGAGGGGGTCCGTCCGTTTGGGTGGCGGTTGAGGCGGCGGCTGCAAACTGCGTCTTCAGAAGCATTAACTGATCGTTGGTTAATGTCTGCAACAGAGATGTCGTTTGTGTCGTCTGATTGATGTGAAGCGAACCACTCGGAGGCATCGGTTGCGGAGTAGTGGGCGCCGGTGTGGGTGTCGGCAACGAGTTGTCCACTTTTGCCGATTTATTCACTTTATTTGGTTTCGAGGATATCTGCAGAGACTTCTTAACGCTGTCATGATTTGCAGTCACTGTGGAAGTGCTCGTCTGAATCGATTGAGTTAAATGCGAAACGGATTGAGTGGTCGGCGGTTGGCTTTGATGTGATTGAATGACAGACGTCTGACTCAACGAGACGTTTGGCTCGAAAAGTCGCGGCAATAAGAATGGGATCGAGGGGTCGATCTTCATGTTATTGGCGGCCGCCTGAAGGAACTGTAGGGTTTCGGGTCGGGTACTGAAATTCTGGGCCAATTCCGATAAAATCATTTGTTGCTGTTGTAGAAGACTTGTCTGCGTCTGTGGACCACTACTGGCCGAAGAATTGCTACTATTCTGATCCAAATGTTCAGAATTAATGGCGTTTTTCAGGTTATTTTTCTCCACCTCTTCCGATGTGAGCGACGAACTCAAGGACTTTAAGAAATTAGGAGTCGTTTGGTGCGAGTGTTTCGATGAAATACTTTTGATTTTACTGTTGGGCCGAAAGCGGCGGTTCGCCGGTGGGGTTGATATAGAGAGGGGTGTGTTCGTCGATGTGCTCATCGTATTCGTAAATGTCGTTTGCGTGGGAACTGCCGGCAAATTCATGGGACAGTCAGTGGCCAACGGTGTCGGTGTTGTCTGAAAACCGGTGGACTGACTGATGGCAGAAGGCATTTGAAACGGTGTTTCGGTTTTGAGAGGTTTTTGCAACGAAGAGGGCATTTCTAAAACAGGCATTCCTTGAGAGGTGAGACCACTACTATCGACGGGTATGTTCGCCGAGAGTTGGGATAAGGAGGGCCCGCACGAGAGGCCCGCCTGATAACACTGAATGAGTTGTTGCTGCCAATGGGCCTGGTATTCGCGCTCCACTCTCTGCAACTCTTCGAGAATTTGCTGCTTCTGTCGGATCTGTTCCTCTTTCGCGGGATCCAATTCATCGGTTCTGCGGATCATATCGTTAATCCTCGCCTCAAGTCTTTCGGCTTCTTTCAGAGCATCAATGCTCGAGAAAGTGGACGACTCGGCGGCGCTCACATTGGTGGGCGTCGTCGGTGAGACGCCGCCGTCAGAGAGACTCCGTTCCAACACTTTGTTAACTGAACGGCCCTTTGAGAACGAGACATAACTGTCCGTCTGATCGGACCCTTTGCTTGTCATTACATTCGTTGAGTTTAAAGTATTGTTATCTTTGGGAATATTTTTCTTTGAAATCGATTTCTGAAGATTTAGTTTTGATTGAAGAGACGAAATGGAAGAATGCGTTCGACTGGAAGTGTCCTCGAGTTGGAGGCCGTGCGGGGGGACCCTTGGCGTCGGCTCGGCATCGGCTGACGCGTTAAGAGGAGGTGACGGTGCCATCAGATTCGTTGGGTAATCGATGAGCAACTGGACAACAGTCGTGTGGCCGCCTTTGGCCGCCTCTATAAGCATTGTTGAGCTGTCCTTAAGGCGATGCGTCGGATCGGATCCGTTGGCCAACAGAAGCTCGACGACCGCAAGGTGTCCGCCCGCACAGGCCAGGGAGAGGGGCGTGTGATCGTTGTTTGCGGTCACTTTGTTCACATTCGCGCCCCTATTGATCAGGAACTGAACGGTGCAGAGGTGTCCGGCGCGCGACGCCTTCATCAACGACGTGCGGCCGCCCTCCGCCTCGTGCTCTAAGTCGGCGCCGGCCTGTAGTAGGAGCTCCGCGACATCCGTGTGTCCGTTCTCACAGGCGTACATCAATCCCGTGTCGCCCGAACTGGTCATCGCGTTCACATTGGAACCAGAGTTGATGAGATGGCGCACGAGATCCAGGTGCCCCTCCTGTGCCGCTTCCATTAACGGTGTGTTAGCGCCGGCTTCGATGTCGGCACCGGCTTTGATCAGAAAGTCCGCGACGTCCAGAAAACCCCCACAACAGGCGAGTGTTAGGGCCGTCTCCTGAGTCTCCTCTGTCTGGGCGTTGATGTCCGCGCCTTGACTTAGCAGCAGAGCCACCATCTCTTCGTGACCCTCTCGGGCGGCTTCCATCAAAGGTGTGTATCCCTCGTCGTTCACCTCCTCGATATTGGCGCCCCTTTCCAGCAAAAGCATCGCCAGCTCTACGTGTCCGCCACAGGCGGCCAGCGTTAGGGGCGACTCGAAGCTGTCAGCCGGCATATTCACCTGCGCCCCGGAGTCCAGCAGTAGACGCGCCACTTCCACGTGACCGTCCATAGAGGCCTCCATAAGCGCGGTATGCATTTCGTCAGTTTTGTGCTCCTGATCGGCGCCGGCCTCCAGTAGGAAGCGAACCATTTCCAAGTGTCCCTTATAACAGGCCAGAGTGAGCGCCGACTCCTTGTATTCGTTTGAATGCGTGTTAATACTGGCGCCGTGTTCAACGAGAATGGTGGCCACAGTCACGTGACCAGCGCTGGCAGCTTCCATGAGAGGCGTGTGTCCGTTCTCGTTGTGGTCCTCAACGTTGGCGCCGTTTTTGAGCAACAGTTTCACCACTTCCTCGTGACCACCGGCACAGGCGAACATCAGTGGAGTATTCCCTTGAGATGTCTGAGCGTTCACTTCGGCGTTGTGTTTGATTAAGAGCTCAACAATTTCCAGGTGTCCGCCGTTCGCGGCGTCCATCAGAGGTGTGGTGTCTTTGAGACCCCTATCCTCAACATTGGCGCGCGCGACCAACAGTTGTTTCGCCAGTTCGTAGTGACCCGAAGAGCACGCGAACGACAGAAAGCTTTCGCCCTCTTCTGTCACTTCGTTGACACTACACCTCTCGGACCGGTCGTCCATCAGTCGCGACGAGCCCTCCATACTAGCTGTCAATTCTTGCGATGGATCCGCCGATTTGTGCAACACGTTGGCAGTCAATGGGGTGATGGCTGTGAGCTGGGAGTCGCTGATCCGCATTTTGGCGATGGCCTGCGCGGCCTCGTCCAGAGCGCAGTGGACGTCACTCACGGCCAGCGACGAGGCGATCCGTCTCAGGACGTCCGCGTCGATCAGATGCTTGTCTGCAATCACACCATTCACGCGTCAATTAACACGATATCCCACAACCAAATCAACACAATTCATGTCATACCGGCTTCGAGTAGCGCCTCGAGGTTTGCTCGCGACTGGGCGTCCATTTCTGCGGGTTCTCCCAAATGAATGCCTTTTCAATGTATTGAATGCGAATTAAAACAAACATCACAACAAACAAGCCGTCAATCGATTGACAAATACCTGTAACCAGTTTGGAGTCAGAGGTTTCGGCAGACAATAAGAATTTGGAAGCGTTTGTGTCGACGACAGGCTCTTCGTCTAATGTGAACGACTCAACCTATTTGTGTCATACAAAATACAATCACATTACAGATTGTTATCATTGATTGTCTCAACAATTAAACTATAAATTAATTATTGAAAGTCTAGCCAACCGTTAAACCATTTCAATACAAACGGCTCTATTATTTACAATACAAAATAATATTTTATGCCATTATTACAGACAATAACAACATTGAGATTCAATTTTCCTGTTGGAAGTCATACCTAAAGCCTCTCAACTAAAGCACACTTTATTAATATGTAATTATAAATACCGTATAAGTTATTACTATATTTCAGAGCAATCATATAAAAAAAAGTAATCCAACTATTTTTTCTATTCATAAAACACTAACAATTGAGTCAAAAATTATGTAATATTAGTTTAATACTGTATTTAATACCATAGACATGTATTCAATTGTCAGGAGGTATAGTGTTATTAAATTTGATTTTCGATATGTTTCCTAATTTAACAAAATTTAACAAAATGTTTAACAATATAATTGGATTGACATCTAAACCAGACTAGTGTTTGTACAGCAAAACAAAGCCGTCACGTGTATAATGTATACAATGTATAGTGAATTGATTAAGAATACATACTAAATGCACCTAAACACGGGTAAGAGAGTCAAAGGGTAAGTAAGTGTAAGAATATGAATAAGAAGTTTATGAACAAATATTCTGTTTGGTGAGTATTTCACAATCAGTTATGCGGAACCCAGTGAACACCACATTCAGGAAGAGATTTTTTCAATGGCTTTCCTATTGATTGTCATATCAATTGTTTTCGTGAATCAATTTAAATATGTATTATCTATATGTCTGACCACTTGTGTAACAGTGCTGTCAAATACACACACTAATCAGTCATTTAAAATTTGCATTATAAAAAGCAAATCCCAATTAAAATCTATCAAAATGCAGTCAACACTCAATTAACGGATTAAAAATGGTATAAAAATATCATTAAATCAAATGGAAAGGCATACCAAACCCCGAAATACATTAAATATTTTGAATCAATAATAAGCATAAACACCACAAAAAATGAGATCGAAATCGATGAACAAAAAAATACAAATTAACATTTAATACATAAAACAACAAAATAGTAAAACATTTAAACACGAAAAACATGTGGCGATAACATAGCGTATACGCGAGTGTCTTGTGTTGCATACAGTATTGTCTCTAATCTATTGCTAATGATTTCATTTGAATTTAATTCACGTCTATTTCCACTAATTTTCATCTAATTCTCATTACATTGAGCACTACATTCACTAATAAACTATCACTTCATTCATAAATCACACGTCAATTGGCTTTTCAATTAACATTCAATATAACATTTTTTCTATTAATTTCCCGTATTTTTCGTACCATTTCAATAAAGCGATAAAAATCTGATTAATTGACAAAAAAAATTCATTTCATTTTTTGGCACAAAACACACGACACATGAAATCAAATGCGTTTCGCGAGCCGTGAGTGCAGCGGACGCACGAGTGTCGGCCACACACGAGATAATACAAGACATGCCATAAGGAGTGAGTGAATGAGTGGTTAAATTGAGTGATACCTCAGAGTTGTCGTCGTCCTCATCGTCCTCCTCCTCGGACTCGAACAGTTCGGCCATCAGATTGAGTTTCGGCGACGAAGAGGTGGGCGACGAGCACTTGGGTCCGCAGGTCGTGACGGCGGCCGTCGTCTTCACCACTGAGGAGGCGGTGGTGTTGGAGGCGCTCAACAACTGCTGCAACTGTTGGGCCGAACACAGGGTGTGATGGTTGGGGTGGTGGAGGAGGTGTGGTGTTTGGGTGGTGGGGGAGGTGTTGGTGGCGGATGTGGTGGTGGTGTGGCGTTGGTGTCCACCGGCCTCGTGGTCATCGCTGACGACACAATCGTTTGCATCGAAATGTATTGCATTTTGCATTGTATCGGACATTCATTCACTGATTGAGTGACAGACT